AACCTGACATGTATGACACGAATTGCAATACTTCACCACATCAGCCTTTAGGCCAGGCCAGAAGAAATGCTGCAGGATACGTTTATACGTTTTGCTGATACCCAAATGTCCGGCCATGACATGATCATGGGCTAGCCTTAGCACATAGGGCCTATACATCTCAGGTACCACAATTTGAAATGTACTGTCCCACTCTTTTGAAGCTACTGAAGGGGCCCACTTTCTCATTAAGACTTCGTTAGTCCGAAAAAATGCAACTGGGACTTTATGAATTTTCCCCTGGTCCACCACAGCAGACCTACAGTTGGCAAGTGACTGATCATTCTCTTGAGCAGACAGTAACTCAGCATGAGTTACAGGGAGAGTTAGCTCATGACAGACAGAAGGGACCTGCTTCAACAAACTACCACAGCTATCCACAGAATCTGTAGTGAGTTTCTGATCTGTACTGTCAGAGGCAGCAAATAGATGAGAAAGGTTAATTTCCTCTTCCCTTTTTGCCTTTTGGGCTCTAGTAGTGACACAGACAGAGAAAACAGCAGGAAACTCCTGTTGTAACACATCTTCCTCATCAAGTGGGGAAGGTTCAGGTACTACCTCAGGAACAGGGAACACCTTGCCACCAGCAAGATCATTTCCAAGAATAAAATTCATGCCTGCAACTGGTAATTTCTCCTGAACAGCTACCCGTACCATCCCACTGACCAACTCTGACCTTAAGTAAATGTGGTGTAAGGGCACACTAACAGGGGTAAGATCAATCCCACATACAACTACATATGAACCACAAAAAGTTTCCTCTGTTAAAGTAAGCACCTGACTGGAGATAAAAGATTGGGCTGCTCTTGTATCTCGCAGGATGCTTACTGGCTTTCGACACTCTTCTTTGTCAGACAAAGCAACAAAACCATCCAAAATAAATGGACGGAAGGCAACAGCACAAGGTTCTTGACTTGGTTCTGATTTAGGAGCAGGAATGCAAGTTACACTCTTGGGCTTGTATTTCTTTTTGTTCCACACACTACAGTCGGCAATTAAGTGACCTGGGCGCCGACAGTAAAAGCAAAGACAAGTCTCGGGAGGGCGTGGGGTAGACTCAGCTAAGCACTTTTCTCTTTTAGGAGACCTCTCAAACGTGCGAGAAGCATGTGACCAACTACCTTGCCCTCTTTTGTCCCTTGTATCTCTAACACTGATTGTAGGCAACAAAGAAGCTTTCACAGGGAATACTGTCTTATGAGTCAAGACATATTCATCTGTTAAGACAGCTGCCTCTGAAAGGGTAATCACTTTTTGTTCATTCAGATGGACTACAACCACCTCAGGCACAGAATTTTTAAAATCTTCTAGCAAGATAAGCTCTTTTAACTGTTCAAAGCTAGTTATCTTTGAAGCAGAACACCACTTCTCAAATAAAACTGTTTTCTCATGAGCAAATTCAACAAACGTTTGGTCTGCAGTTTTCTGGTGAGACCGAAAACGTTGCCTATAGGCCTCAGGCACTATCTCGTAAGCCCGGAGTACAGCAGCCTTAACCTTGTCATAGTCCAGGCTCTGCTCTACAGTTAAAGAAGAGCACACTTCCTGTGCCTTACCAACCAGTTTGCATTGCAGAAGTAAAGACCACATGTCTTTGGCCCAGTGTAGAGTAGCCGCTACACGCTCAAAAGTGGTAAAATAGGAATCTACCTCTGCTTCCCTGAAAGGAGGCACAAGAGAGATATATTTGCTGACGTCAAACTTGGAAGAGTGCGGGACAGGTTGCCTTGAGAAAGCACTCCTGCTGGCCTCCAGCTCAAGTGCCCGGAGACGCAGCAACTGCGTCTCCCGTTCCTGCTGCTTAATAGCCAGGTCCAATTCCTTCAGCTTAATAGCCATATTTAAATAAGGTCACTCAGAGGACCAGCTCCTGGTGGAGAAGTGACTAGATCTATGCCCGGGGAAGTTCCTGGTGAATGCCCTGCAGCCTCCGCCATGGACAATACACCACCATCCCCTAAAGCAACATTAGCACTATCCACCCCATGTAATACAGCAGCCTGGGCCACGGCAGGACTCCCTGAATCAGGAGACACAGGCAACCTTCGGTCTTCACACAGCTTCACAAGTACCCTCTCTCTGATCTCTGCCTTTCTAGCAGTACGTGCCACAGGTATATTATAAAACTCAGCCACCAACAACAAGTCAGCCTTTCTACACTGCATCAAAGCCTCCACGGATGGAGACAACACAAACATCTCCAAGTCAAACTCCATCTTCACAACAAAAAAAAGCAATCAAAACACAACAGAAGACCACACCCGCCCCCACCAAAAAAGGATGCAAGGACGAGGCCACACAAGGCAAAAGAACCCCAAGCCAAATGACCAGGAAAAAGAGACCCCAGGTGTCATAACACCACACAGCAGAAGAGCCAGGAGGAGGCATCAAGGGCAGCAAAAGAACACCAAACACAACCTCACTCGAAAAGGCATAGGACGAGCCCCCAAATGTTACGTTCCTGCCTAAGGGTATAATGCCAGAAAATGGTAGTACAGTGGGTGTATGATAAACCAAGGTATTGCTCAGTTCAGAGTGTATTTACAATTATTTACAACTATTTACAAACAAACAAGCCATCTCTCCAGGGGTAAGCCAGGCCAAAATAACAAACGAAACCCACTCTAACTCCACCCACAAATCTAACTAGCCTAATCAAACCAAAATCAAACAAAAGACAGGCAACTAACCTAATTCCCTAACTTAAAATGATAAACAGGAGAAAAAAGGTATATACAAAGAAAATGGCACTTACCCCCTTCCGGCACAGTCACAATGAACAGAGACACTATTGACACACGGTCTATCAAATACAAAACAACAGCAAACACACACGCAGCACACACAACAGCTCAAAACAAAATTCTCTTTCTCTCTCCACCCTCTGCTAGCTTGCTAGCTAGCTCTCTCTCTCTCTCTCTCTCTCTCTCTATTACCTGCTGGGTTGACCCTTCACTCTCTGTTCAGATCACGGCCCTCTCCAATGGTTCCCGCTGGTATCTGGGATTGCAGCCTTTTAAGTTCAAGGTGATCCACAGGCCAGGGGCTCAGATGCCAGTGACGGACTTCCTCTCCCGCCTTGGGGAGGGGGGTGTGTGCTGCCAGCCAGTCGGCTGCCCGGCCTGGTTCGGGCGGTGAAGGTATGTGGCAGTAGGGGCATGGTCAGGTGCCATCTGCAGGGGAAAGGCTGGGTCAGAGTGAGGACGTGGACTGATTGGCAAACGCGTACACCTCTGGCTAATTTTCTTTTTCCCTACTAATATGAGTTTCTTTCCCCAGTAGGCCCTGTCATTGACTGCATTCTTTGATGACATCAACTGATGGTGGGTTTTTTCCCTCTCTATTAGACCTTTCCTGCAAATGTCTTCAGTTCCTGCTTGTTCTTGAGGCATTTGTTATGATGTCAGAGGGACCTGACTCATTACCAAGAACTGTTTAATGTAATGCATCCTAAAGACAACACAACACAACCTACCTTTTCTCTAAAAAGAAATTGAATTATATGTATCAATGCAAATATTTATATGTACCAATAAAAATATTTTTCTTCTAGCGTGAACACTTCAATAAATGAAAGGGAGCACTGGAGCTCACATGGAAATGTCTATATGTATTAGTTTCCGTTCAAAGTCACACACACCTTCACAGCTTTTTATTTTCAGTTTTGCTTTCAGTAAGTGGAATGCATGCTTGATTGGATTGAGGTCAAGTGATTGACAAGGCCACTGCAGAACATTCCACCTCTTCTCCTTAAAAAGGTCTTAGGATGCATTTGCATTATTCTTCAGGTCACTGTCCATCTGCACTGTGAAGCACCATCTGAATCTAAGCAGATAATATAGCCACATACACTTCAGAATTCATCCTGTTTTTGTCAGCAACCACATCATAAAAAACACAAGGGAACCAGCTCCTCTGGCAGCAATACATGCCCATGCCAAAACACCACCTCCACCATGCTTGATAGATGAAGTGGTATGCTTTGTATCATGAGAAGTTCCTTCCTTTCTCCATATTCATCTCTTTCCATCATTCTGGTACAAGCTGACCTTTGTCTCATCTGTCCATATTTTTTTTTAAAGTAATGTACTTTTTTTTAGATGTTTTTGGAAAACTCTAATCTGGCCTTTCTGTTTTTGGTTTACACCTTGTGGTAAGCCATATATTTATGTATATGTATTTTTTCTAGTGTAGACTTGTAGAGCTCCTGGAGGGGTTTTGTCATTTGGCTGACTAGAAATGAAATAATGAAGTAATAACACACAACTGGCCATGTACTGCTGAGCAGCCACTTATTTACACTATATAAATTGAACCTCTTAATGTCCAAAATCATTCATCTACCCTTATTCAGAATCACAGCCTCATAGACCACAGCTGATGTCTCATCTGAATAACCATAAGTGCTGCATCAGTAAGGCCCCAGACTAGTGGATGGTTCCCACCCACACTTCTACACACTCTTTGCCCCCCTTCTGTCTGGCAAAATAAACTGCATCTCACAAACCTCACAGAAAGACACTTGGGATTAAAGTTAGATCAGTGTTGCTTGTTTATTTCTCTGGAATCAAGTAAGGGGGCTGACCTTCTTGTCTTTAGCTTCTATATAAGCACTTGTAAAGAAATGTTTCATTTCATAGGAGACTGAGAAGGTTAGGACAATCAAGCTTCAAAATACCTGATGATTTGTTCATTGTCAGACTCTGTAGCATCACAATTTTCTTCCTTATACATATACTCCAACACTAAATAAACTGCAAATTGTAATACTTATTGTTATGAAAATTCTAGGAGCAACAATTGGCAATATATTTAGATGTTACATGTTCCTGTTTTACAGAAAAACATGTGTACAGTACTCAATATAATATGCTGTGATACAGGGTGAATATTAATTGTCATTATCTTTTCCACTGTTTAACAGCCTTATCTGAGGAACGCAGTCTGTGGTGCTGAAAGTGATGAACTTCTCTATGTCCAGCAACATCACCCAAACAAAAGGGAGGGACTCGTACACAATAGCTGTGACCAAAAATGTGATTGCTGTGGCTTTGTACTTCTCCATCAACTACATTAACGGCACGCTTGTCCACACTTTCTTCAAGCATGAGATCTTTAATGAGAATCCTCGATATATCCTTTTTATCCATATGGTTGTGAACGACATGATCCAGCTAACCATTGCAGTCTTGATTCATGTCGTTTCCTATGTCTTTTATATAATCAACTTCTCTCTCTGTTGCTTCTTTATAATGACTGGAGTGTTCACCACCCTCAACACTCCACTAAATCTGGCCAGCATGGCTGTGGAGCGCTACATTGCTATCTGTAACCCATTGCATCACATGCAGCTTTGCACTGTACGCAGGACATACGTCCTAATTGGACTGATTTGGGTCTTGGGTGCCATCACCATTCTTCCTGACCTGTTCTTTCTGTTAGCCACTGAGCCTTTATCGTTCTTCCATTCTACCATCTACTGCAGTCGAGACACTGTGTACCGATATCCATACCTGGTGGAGAAGAGAAACATTTCATACCTGGTCTATTTGTCCTTTGTATGGCTCACTTTGTTCTACACCTACTTCAGGATCATGTTTACTGCCAAGGCCACCGGTGCAGATGCCCGGAAGGCCCGCAATACCATCCTCCTGCATGGCCTGCAGCTTCTGCTGTGCATGTTCACGTACATTGACCCACTAATCGAGAGTTCATTAGTTTCTCTCTTCCCCATGCTTTTAAATGATGTACGATTCACAGGTTACCTCTTTGTCCACATTTTACCCAGGTTTATAAGTCCTATCATATATGGATTGAGGGATCAGATGTTCTGTGCATACTTGAAAAAGCATCTGTTGTGTATTAGGCTGAAAGAAAGGAATACAAGAAAAACACAGACCTCCTAACTCGACTGCCAGTTTAAAATTAAGATTAAAAAACAAAAAGAAATTGTGATAAACACAAATTTGTCTTTTGTTTTAGGGGATTTTGTATACCCACTGTATGATTTGTAGTGGTGTACACATTTGTTGCTGAATGAAAGAAAACAATATAAATGTACATTTACAGTTGTAAAGGCACTAAACAAAGTTTAAAAAGATGTTTTAAAGACTGAGTTTGAGCCCATTAACTGTCCACACTACATCTTTTCTAAATATATCTTATAATATAGAATATACTTAAAGGCAGGGGTGTAATTGATGTTTTGCAAGGATCTCAACACCTTGGAAAAACACTGTTCAGTGTATGTGATGTTTTATGGAGTCCTCAGCACTAATATCGTAAAGATCTTATTGTAACTTCTGTTTCTGTCAATTATTTTATTTGGCTATTTTTAGTTTTTCTTTATTATATCAAATTATCTTTTGAAATCCACACATTTTTAAAACACTGGTTTAAATTGTGTGTCAAAAAGACGTCACACATATATATATATATATATATATATATATATATATATATAACGTGTGTGTGTGTGTGTGTGTGTATATAAATCATTTTATCTATATATACGTATATAAAATGATTATCCAAACTTTATACAATTATAAAGCTAATGCAGTGCATGTAAGGCCTTTTATAATAAAAACAGAAACCACTGTTGAAGCACGCACTCACTGTTGAAGCCATGAAGCACGCTCTAATATTCTGCAAGCATATACTCAGTCTGCTTTCAAGTGATTGAAGTGATTGAACTAAAATGAACATTTTTCAGTCTTTAATTCTCGGCAGCACGAAAATTTTCATTTCCCATGTGCCAATATGCTTTCTATAGTTCTAAACAGTTGGGCTTTGAGGTGAAAAGGCTTGACAACCTCTGCTATAGCCTATAGTGATCGTTTTTTATAAAGAAACTGATCTTCACACTATGTTAAAATAATACAGTACAGACTTTGGCCACAACTTTGTGTGCTCTGTTGCATTATGCTAAAGCATAAAGTGCATTCCATAAAATGCCGGGTAAAAAAAGTATTGCCACTTCTGTATTTTCTGTGTTACTGCATATTTGTCACCCTTAATGCTTTGAGATCTTAACAAAATGAAATATTAGACAAACGGCCTTTTCAAATACAGTTCTATTATTGTATCATTTATTTAAGGGGCAAAGTTATCCAACATGAAAGTCTCCCATATGAAAAAAAAGTTTATCAAACCATAAATTAAAAAAAGTTACTCAACCATATGAAACATATGACCAAGATGGCGGCGCCCTGTTGGCTGCAGCTGCAACAGCAACAGCTCGCGATAGTATCAGACATTTAATGGCTTATAAATAGCGAATCTGCTGTGCATATATTTCAAATCAGTATACGACCGTTAAGAGATACTGGATTTGAGAGGATCAAGTAATCTGGGACTCATAGATGCAACCACTCTAGACCTTCTACACAGCCTCTGACTGCTACGTCGGCTACATCCAGTGGCCTGTGAAGCAGCGGAGCCTCAAACCAGTGGTGGCTGTCAGCCATTCCGGTCGGACAGGAGCAGCACTCTCAACACCAACAACAACTGGTGTAACAACGCAGTGAAAGTCTCGAGTCACTGCTCTTCTGATGTGGAGCTACTGACTGTAAAATGTAGACCCTTTCATATGCCTAGGGAGTTCACTGTCATTATAATTATAGCAGTGTACACCCCCACCCAGCGCAAACACCAGAGAAGCCCTGAAAGTCCTCTACCATTCCATCAATGAACTGCAATCTACACATCCAGAGGGAGTTTTTATTGTGGAACGAGACTTTAAGCAGGCCAATATGAAAACTGTGCTTCCTCACTTCCATCAGTATGTGAATTTTGCCACCAGAGGAAAAAACACACTAGATCTGGCTTACAGCAACATCAAAGAGGCATTCAAGGCAGCACCCTGCCCCCACCTTGGCTCCTCAGACCATCTCGCTGTGATGCTAATTCCTGCATACAAGCCCCTGCTGATCAGGAAAAAAAGCCACCATGAGGCAGGTGAGGGCTTGGCCTGCAGGAGCTATGGAAACACTACAAGACTGCTTCGAGTGCACGGACTGGGACATGTTCAAGGCAGCAGCCATCGAAAATCATCACATGCGGGTGGATGAGTATACTGAGTCTGTGTCTGCATACATCCAGAAGTGCATAGAGACGTGAGTGTGATTAAAAACATCTTCACACGGGCCAATAAGAAACCTGGATATGGCAGATGTCCGAAGAACCCTGAGGAGAGTGAACACTCGGAAAGCGGCGGGCCCCGACAACAATACCAGGACGGTTGCTGAAGGAAAGTACCGATCAGCTGGCTGGGGTTCTCACGGACATCTATAACACCTCACTGAAACAGGCTGTCGTACCATCATGCCTAAAGACTGCCACAATCATACCGGTGCCCAAAAAACCCACAATCTCCTGCCTCAATGGTTACCGCCCTGTAGCACTCACCCCCATCATGATGAAGTGTTTCGAGAGGCTGGTAAAGGACTACCTCATCTCCAAACTCCCTCCCACAATCGACCCGTACCAGTTTGTTTCCCGCCCAAATCGCTCCACAGAGGATGCCATCTCCTCTGCACTTCACCTGAGCTTAGAACATCTGGAAGGAAAGAATACACATGTGCGCATGCTGTTTCTGGACTTCAGCTCAGCGTTTAACACAGTCATCCCACAACATCTGATAAGCAAACTGGCCTCCCTTGGCTTCAGTACCCACCTGTGTAACTGGCTGCTGGACTTTCTATCAAATAGACCTCAGTCTGTGCAGGTGGACAACAACATCTCCAGTGTCATCTCTGTGAGCACCGGCTCCCCTCAGGGCTGCATCCTGTACCCGCTGCTGTTCACCCTGATGACCCACGACTGCTGTGCCAGGTCCACTACCAAACACATCGTGAGTTTGCAGACGACACGACAGTAGTGGGCCTAATCCAGGACGACAATGACCTGGACTACAGAGAGGAGGTAAACCATCTGGTTGACTGGTGCGAAACCAACAACCTGGTCCTGAATGTCGAGAAAACCAAAGAGATCATCGTCAACTTCAGAAGGAGCCAACCCAACCACACACCACTCCTCATCAAGGACACAGCAGTGGAGATAGTCAGCAAAACCTAAGTACCCAAGTTCCTGGGGGTATAGATAACGGACACTTTGACCTGGTCCACTCACATTGAAGCTCTGGTCAAAAGAGCACAGCAGCGCATGCACTTCCTGAGACGGATGAAAAGAGCACACCTCCCCCCTCTGATTCTCACTACCTTCTACAGAGGCACTGTAGAGAGCATACTGACGAGTTGCATCTCTGTCTGGGCAGGAGCCTGCAGCACCTCTGACTGGAAGTCTCTGCAGAGGGTGGTAAGGACAGCAGAGAGAATTATTGGGACTTCACTTCCTCCCATACAGGACATTGCAAAAAGTCTCTGTCTGACCAGAGCTCAGAACATAAACAGAGACCCCTCCCACCCCCACCATGGACTGTTCTCGCTGCTAGCCTCTGGAAAGAGGTTCCGAAGTCTTTGAAGCAGAACAGCCAGGTTCAAAAACAGCTTCTTCCCACATGCAACAAGACTGCTGAACTCTAAATAAATGTTTACATGTTTACATATGCACCACACTCTGCACTACATTGAACTTTGCACTACATTTTATTACTTATAATTCTCCCTGATCTACACTGAGTCTATGCAACATAATTTTGTTCTAATGTGCACTGTACGGTGTAAATTTGAATGACAATAAAGTCTGTCTAAGTCTAAGTCTAAGTCAACCAATAAAATGACCAAATTTAATTGATAATTAGCAGATTAGATTTAGTCAGGCTTAAACATAGCTATCCTTTTTGAATAGAAAGCTCACTCATATTCATTACTATCAGTGTAACATTGCCACAATGTTTCTACAAGCATACCAGACCATGACCAAATAACAAAAAAAAAAATATATATAATGCTGCATTTACACTGCTCCAGAGGCATAGCACTACATCAAATCCCATTTGTTTTCTTGGGGGAGCTCTGGTTCTGGGGTCTGGAGGATGCGGAGCATCAAAAAAAGTTGAGCAGAGTTGAAATTTTGGAAATGAATCCAGTCAACCCAATGCATCTACCTAATCAGGAGAAGGTGGTGATTGCATGAATGTCAATGTATGAAACATTGATTCCTCATTTCAAACATTTCCATGCGACATGGAAGGATGACAGCAAAAGATCATATAAACACAAATGTTTACCTCCAAATTTTACAATCCAAGTGGGACTGTTTAAATGGTAATAAACTGAAATTACTGGTGATGCCTGTTTTCTGATGACGATTTTGGATTGTCTTCCAGCCCAAACCAGAGCATCTAATGCTCTATTTCCAGTGAGTAAACTGGACAAATTTCATGCTAAGCTTTTTTGATAATTCACCTGTAAGCTCAGATCAAGCTAAGATCTCGTTCCTCATCTCTAGTTTATCAGACAAAGCCTTAGAATGGGTTAAGCCAGTTGGCCCCATACTCACAATACGTCTTATGCTAATTTTTTGAAAAAATTTAGAACTGTTACTAACCAAATGACATCAGGTTAACCATTCAGTAGTAGACTACACTTTGGAACTCACTGCCAGCAGTGGATGCAACTTTATCCAAGTTTATCCCCTCACTCAAGAAGAAGAACGATCTATGGACACCTATATCCAAGAAGCCCTTGATCAGGGATTCATCAGGCCTTCCACTTCCCTGCTGCCTCTGGATTCTTTTTTGTTAAGAAAAAGGATGGAGGTCTCCACCCATGTATTGACTATAGGGGTTGAAACCAGATCACAAAAACTCACCCATATCCTCTTCCCCTTGACGACATAGCTTTGGACCAATTGAAAGGTGCGAAGTACTTCACTAAATTAGATTTGAGAAGCGCTTACAACCTGATCAGAATCAAGGAAGTAGATGAGTGGAAGACTGAGG